TCAGACATTTCAAGGAACATTCAGATTTTCTGACTGATCTACTCCAAGCACTATCTACTACAGAGAATGAGTACAGTTCAGTATAACTGAATAAACTGAGGTTTGTTTTCTTTTTAAGGCATCCTCAATCTAAGTTCTAGCAGCCTAGTCCACAGTAAACAGTCTTCCTTGATACGTAACTAATTTTCACAGTAACTTCCATCATTTTAAGGTTCATTTAGGTGCATTTCTAAATACTGCCCCCTTGCAATCCTCCAGCTTATTCACATATAGATAGAAATGTTTAAGTATCAGTGTACCCTCTGTTACTCTGAGAAAACAGTTTTTTATAAAAATCCTTGAAGACAGATTGGATACCTAGAATCATAGGAACATAGGAACACAGAATCACAGAATCCATCAAGGTTGGAAAATACCTCAAGGATCATCAAGTCCAACCCAACACCACCTAACTCACTAAACCATGTCCCGAAGCACCACATCTACACATTTCTTGAACACCTCCAGGGATGGTGACTCCACCACTTCCCTGGGTAGCCTGTTCCAATGGCTGATCACTCTTTCAGTAAAAAAAATTTTCCTAATATCTAGCCTAAACCTCCCCTGGTGCAACTTGAGGCCATTTCCTCTTGTCCTATCACTTGTTACTTAAGAGAAGAGGCCAGCACCCACCTCACTACAACCTCCTTTCAGGCAACTGTAGAGAGATATGGTCTCCTCTCAGCCTCCTCTTCTCCAGACTAAACAACCCCAGCTCCCTCATGCTTCTCATTACTTGTCCACAATCCCCTGTATTCAACTAAAATCCTGTCTAGAAAGCCTCAACCAGAGAGATATCAATAATAGACGGCTCGTGGAAACACTGCAGAGAATCAGTTTGTGGGAGCTTGCTGCTGCCTAATATACCTGACAAAAGGTTTTACTTATACTTTATTTATACTGTGTTGCAACAACTACAGGCACACAATTTCTAACTAAGAATATGCGAACACACACATGTACCTGCAAAAGGCCACAAATACATTCAAGATTATCAAACCAAGTAAGGGCTGCAGTAACAGTGTCATGCCAAAGCAGAGATCTAATCAAAGCACCGTACAATCAGGAACTTCCGTAAAAACCTCCCAGGAATCACTCTGGTGAGCACTGAAACCTCTCACATCCCCACATCTGCAGAGGAAGGTTTCTAGGACTCCCCTACCCTGGGCAACCATGTCCATGCAACGGATCCAGATATTTTACACTTACACACACTCAGTTCACTCATGTACTGAAACTTCTGTTAGGACAGCCCTACCCAATCCCAGACATTATATAAAAGAGCTCAGTATGATCAACTGCATTATAATACAACCATATGAGATGACTAACTTTTTTGCAGGTGCCAGATATCTGCCACCATGTTTGGATAAAATCAGGAATATCTTACTCCTTGCTGAGCTTCTAATCCTGCCTCCTCAGAATACATCAAAACCGATAACCATGGCAGACATTTACACTTTATATCTTTATTTTCTCAGTAGCAGTAAAATCTACAAACTGCAGTTCTAGTTGTTGTCTCCCTCTCCTGAACTGGCCTTCCTATCCCTTCATCCCCCACAGTCCTCCTCACCTCCCCCAACATGTTGACACAGGGGAGTTTTAAAAAGAAATCAGAATTAAGTACATTGCACAGAAGGGAGATTTTAGCATAGGCACATAAGAAGAAGAAACACTGAGAAAAGTACTCAAATGTAAGAACTCTATTAAGCTATCTCAGCTTTTATCCAAGTTGAGCTATTTTTACTTCATAAGATTACAAGTCAATTTTTGTAAGGCAGAGTTAAGGTACCACAGTGCCTGTATAGAACAAAAATTGCAGAAACTCAGTAATTTTGCAGGACGTTTTATGTTGATCTGTGGGAGCCCAAAGACATTACTACAAAAAGTGGCCTACTAAGAATAAGCAGCAAAATGCAACCCAGCTCTTTCAAAACTATTCATACAGGTATTACTTCTTTGAGAGGAAGTAATATCTCATCAGAACAGAGAGAATATTGATCTGGTAAATGGCAAAGTACAGCATCTTCCTAACCTTTCACCTTTACTTTTTGTAACATATATTCAGAATATATTCTCTAAAGTGTTTTTTCTTTCTCTTTTTGTTCCATAGGATCAACAGACTGCTTACTGTATTTACCAACAAAACAATCCATGCACCAAATTCTGACAGAAAATGACTTGGTATTAAAAAAAAAAAATAATCAGACCATCAGAAAATTCTATGAGGAAAAAAAAAAAAACCAACATAAAATGCTTTCCTTCGTAAATGGAAAAAAAAAAAAAAGATGAAGTGTAGAATGAATACCATGTAATGTACAATCCATGAAAACAAAGCAAACTACCAACCCCCTGCAACAACGTAGCAGTGACTAAAAATAGAACATAAGGAGGACAAACTATACCCAAAACAACCTGAAATCTTTCACAATCCTTCTTGAAGTTTTCTATTGATAAAGCAAAGAAGATACAGGACACTTATTTCAACTCCATAAATTTTCACTGCACCACAGTAAGTAATTTCAGATATACTGAATAAATTTATAAGACCGGCCCTGTCTGGTTTCAGATCTGTCTTATATAATAACCTTCATGTGATTCAGCATTCTCCATCAATTTCTCAGTACTCTCACACAGCTCTCCTCATAGGTCATAAATACTACCCTTTCTTCACACCCTTCTCTCCCTTCCTTTACCATCACAAATTCCAACAACTTGATGACATCTAACCCTGTAAGAACTGAAAAAAAAATATTTCTTAAAAAACCCCCACAACGGTAAAACAAGAACTTTTTTCTAGGTATCTTTATCTCGCTGGAAAAAAGTTAATTACAAAGTATAACAAAACAGCACATAGGGGTGACCAAAAAACACACCACAAACCTACTGTTCTTGACCAAATGATTTCTTACGGCTACAAGGCATTAAGGATAACAACAAATCCTCTCAGCTGGGGGACAGGGGGGGAAAGCCTTTTCTCTGGACCCAATCCAGGCAGCTTCCCACTGCCAAGTCAAGACTAGCTTCATCATTCATTAATAAGATGCAATGATTCACCTGTAATTTTTGTCAGTTTCAGCAAAAAAGTTTTTAACTGAAAAATGTTTCTGGACTCTTCTAGGCTCTTCTTCATGCATATAAAAATTAAGAATATCTCCAAAATTATTATGAAAAATAAAACCACTTTGGATTACTGTCCTGTCCAGGACAATTACACATTTATAAAGAAACTTGTAATGAGATCAAGCACCACAGTATCCTTCCCAGGTGAGGCCAACCTGAAGAAAAATTATTGACTATTTCTGGTTTTTTTCCTCTGTTTAAGTCAAAATGCTCTTTTTTTCAGCTCCAAACAATGCTCTCATGCTTGCAACTGAAATTGCTTGAAATTATCTCTCCATGGTAAAACTCTTGAGATACACACAAGAAATGGGTATGTTAGACTATCAGCACATTGCATACAAACTGAAATTGCTTTCAAGAAATCAAGCACAGATCACACATTTCACTGCCATCCATGCTCTAGAAATGGAACTGCAAAACAATCAGAGTCCGCATTTATTTTAATCGCAGATAATATTCTGAGCCACAGTGAAACACTCTATACCTACGGAAATACATATAATCATTAACACTTCACCTTGAACTCTACAAAAACACAGGGAAAATAATTTACTAATGATCTATCACTTCTTCTAATAACAAGCCATTAGAGGGTAAGCCAGAAAAAAAATAATTCAAGTCACAAAGTATTCTGAAATGTTTAACATGGGAAGAATACAAAGAACAGAAACGATTACAATAGCTGTTTAATTAATTAATTTAACACTCACTTACAGCAAGCTTTCAACTAACTCTGACATCATGTAAGAACTAAGAATAGATGAATGCTTTTATTGCTGTAGTTTTTAAACTACAAAAGTTATTTCCGAAAAAAAAACACCCATCAACTTCAAAATGGCTTTGTGCAAAAAATGCACTCATACAACTTCTGATGGACCAGAGGCTTTACAAGACAATACAAACAATTTTCACAGGATGCTCCAGTTAGACCTCTCCTTCCATATGCCAGGAGAAGACACTTACTTCAGATCACTCTCTTACCCATTATTTACTCGGCCTTTCTCCCTTTCCACACCTCATCCACACCCCCCACAAATGGGAGAAACTGTCACAGGATTTTTCAAAACTTACTTACGGTCCCTATAAAACACAAGGAACACCAAAAATGTTTTTTCTTTAATGCCAGAATATACATGGCCTTGCCAGAGGAAGCCCTCCCTATTTAAAATACACACTTATTACACACATTTTTAAGGGAAACAGCTGCTTAAGACCACACAATATCTACTGTGTTATGTGCTTCCCTGCACCTCTGACTCAATCAGGAGCTTCAAATTATTTCATGTGGCAACATAACAATGATAACTATTTTTGACAATATCACTACAAGAATTTTATTCATTTAAAGTCCCAATACTTCTACATGGACTTACAGATAGGACAGCTACACTAACAGGATTTTTTCCTGTCTTACATAAGAATGTCACCTAAAATACTGAAAAGGACTTTAAACAATCTGGCTTCTGTGGGAATAAAAAACAACCTGAGAACATTTTTCCCAGTACAAGTCGAACGCCTGAGCAGCAGCTTTCAAGTGGTTATGATTCTCTCAATACTCACACATATCTAACTATCTATGCTTACATAAGAAAAACAGAAGTAACAGATAATAATAATTAAAAAAACCCTAAACCATGTCAAGTCAACTGAGCTGCCTTTCCAACAATGATGTGAAGATTTATTTCCACTTAGATTTATAATAAATTGTCCATCTAGGTGAACATTTCCAGATCAAATAAAGTAATTTCAGGTAGATACTCCAAATTCATATTAAAATTAATTTCAGAAATCCAATAATTTACAACAATAAGTTAAAAAAAAAAGCAACATACACATACCTTCCAGTAGTCAGATTGTAAACTGTAGTACCTCTGGTATGCAGATAATGCTGTTGGAAAGAAAAATGAACGTTGAATTTGTTTTGTTGCATTTTCTTTGAAGAAAAAGACAGAAAACTGTAAGACTCAGAATACACAACATTAAAATGATAAATGGTTTAATAAAAGTAACGCTGCCCCAATAAGTACACTGTTATGGGTAATGCATGCCTTAAGATTATAATTTTGTTGTATGAAATGTCAACCCAAAAGTATATTTATTATTAATCTCACAAATGTAAATCAAGCAATCTCTTAAAGAAAACCTGTAACAAAACAAATAATCTGAAATTTTGTGATTTTCATCCTGGACAAAGCTGTTGTAACATTTAAAAATTTAATCATGTTGCTCATTTACCATGCTCCCCGATGTCCTGTAATTTATAAAGAACTGGTGTGGAGGGACACACAAAGAGAAATCAATTTCACATGCCCTTTCACTCAGTAAGTAGAGAAACAAAAGCCAGAGGAAAAAAGCTTACATTTTATTTAACATCTAAGACCAAGACTAACCTGGAAAACAGCACTAAGAACAAATCTGCTCAGTAGAATATAAGCTCTACTTAGCAACAAATTTCTCAAATCACCATTCCTGCAATCCGTCTTCTCCACTAAAAATTCTGATTGATTTATCTGTCCCTTCAGCTAACAGGCCACATCAGACTAGAACACCAACAGGCTTTACTTTTTGATAAAAACATTGGCTAGGCATGATCCAAAAATGGAGAATTTTAAATAATGATTCATTGCAGTAACACCAAGATTTTGATTTTTCAAGTGTTTTGCTTCTTAAAATTTAAGAATGGTTTCTACACAGTTTGTATTTTCCAAACAACAAAAGACAACCTCTGCTTTGAAAAATTACAAACACTAAACAGATTAAGACAGTAAGAACAATATGTACTTTCTGTGCAGGTTAATTTCCTGCAATGGAAATGTACCATGGATAAAATGATGTCCCTAAATTTTATCACCCTTCAATGCCTGTCTTCCATATTCAGTTCCATAACTTAACAGAAGTCCTTAAGTTTAAGCAAAATAAGAACAACATACACATAATAACAAGGCACACACAGCTTTCTCTTCTTAAGAATACACCTTTGCACTCATTTGTCTACAGAGACTTACAACCTTTTATTTTTAAACACCTAACTGATACATGCTGAATCATGCCCATAAAGTGCCCCTCACCATTGGAGCTGCTTGAGAAGCCAGCTTCTAGTTTTGGTGCTTGAAACTGTGATTCATTTAGATGTCCAGAGTAGAAAAATACCGAGGAAAACACTCATCATCCTTATACTATCAACATGTAGTATGTGTAAATGTTTATATGGAACTTAGTCAAATAAAATAACTTCAAAATCTAGTCAATCAGACTAAGTCTTTCACAACCTAAGAATACAATTCCTCCCCCAGCCTCCCCCCAAAATTTGGTACAAACTGAAACATATGACTGCAGTTTAACAATGTAAGTTTAAGAATGTTAAGACTAAGCATATTTCAGTCACATTCCGTAATTATGTTATAAAGGATGTTCACAATAACACAAAATAACCTCCTACCACAAATACTCCCTCTAGGTTCACCTTCTCCCAGGTATCATTAATGACTTTTCGACAGAAAGGCATAATCACCTTTGAATGTGGAATTAACTTTGCTTTCCCAAATAGGAAAACACACACGCACATACAAAACAATTCTGTAATGTACCACACTTTTAAAAGGAAATAATTTTTTTACTCGAGTATTACCTATCCCAAGTTTAAAGGTTAAAGCATATTTCAAATACTTAAGTCAACAGCATCATATTATACAAGATTCAGGAAACAGAAATTCTTGTAATCTATTGTTTTTAAAAAGTAACTATTGCAGTCAATTATCCAGGGGATATGGATAAAATAAAAAGATGAAAAGAACATTAAATATAATGTTAAGGACTTATACTAAGAAAACAAAAGGGATAACTTTTTCAGTTTAGCTGTCAAACTGACATAAGCATATCCACTAAACAAGAGAGCTGAAATATATGGTTCCCTATAGCAGTTAAGGTACTGCTAATAAGTTTATAATATCTCAATAGTTTTTAAAAAAACGCAAGAATAGAGAAGCAACAGAAGACCTAAAAAGGAAAGAAAAGAAAAGAAAGTGGGGAAAAAAAAAACCTTACTGCTATTCAATGACCAAAACATTCCTTATGCAAGTATAGCTCAAGCCTTTCTTCTGACTACCTCTAGCTAGTCAGACCGTGCGCAGCCCTGTTCCCCAGCCAAACAGAAAATAGAACAGAAGTGAGCAGCACTGAAAAAAGGGAGAGAAGACATCTAAAGGTATTCGCTCCTTCAGACACGATAAAGCCCTGTGTCAGGGGAGGAGGAAACTAAGCTCCACTAACTTTACAACTTATAAAGAAACTTGCCCAGAGAAGTTCTAGCACCTCCATTTAACACAGGGAAAAGTTCTTACATTTAAAAGTCTTTGCTCCGCCATAGTCTACCCATTTTACTTAGAGTGATGATGTTTGCAAATCATTTTGTTTTCTAACTCTTCCATTCTTCAATAAAATTTAGCAACTTCCCATAGTAACAGTTGAAACTACTTCCTTAATGTGCCAGGGTCATACTACAATTAAAAACTAGTACACAGAAAGCATGGACTACTGAAGCTTATTTCATGTTTACACAAGAAGATGATAAGGCCTTCATTCTAGAGAAGGTCACATTGCTCTTCCAGAGGAGCAAAGACATTACAGTCCTCTTATTAAGTGCCTGAAGTGCCCAATCCTACTTCTGGGTTCAGCAACCTCTTCTAGGGATCCAGCCTTTCCTTATAGGGTAACAGTATTCTGCTTCTTGAAGATGAAATGCTAAAATTTTCATTGTGCTGAAAGTGAGCAACAATAGAATCATGGAGCTAAATGTCCCTTCCACCTCATGTAAGTTACACGACTAGAAACTTGTTACACCGTATTAGTATTTAACAAGTGCTCAACTTACAGTTAGTTAGTTACCTATGAAAGTTTATTTCAGCCCCTATTTACATCCAGATGAAGCATCTGCTCCACAAGCACTCGAACTCTCCTGAAAAGGACTGAAGGAACCAGAAGAAAAATAGAAAAAAGGGGTTCAAGAGAGCATTATTTTTTGCCAGAGCCCACATCAAACATCCCTAATCAAGCATATCCCTAGGAAGAATCTTGCATATAAGAAGAGGCTAGAAATCAAAATATGAAAGCAAGATTTCTGAAAAACTAAACCAACCTACTAGTTTCAAAGCAGTAGAACATGCACCACAAATTTCAACCCTACCATACTTTCTACTCCCTGACTGGTGAGCAGACAATTATCCTGAGTTCTACGGTGAAGAAATAGAGTATCTTATCTATGAAGGATATTACGGAACTACAAGCAACTTTTCCCTTAAATTCAGTTTGTAACTATAGGAAATGAGTGCAAACTCCTCAGATCACAAACTTTATTCTAGATTAAGGGAAAAAAGAGCAAGTGAAACTGCTGAGCAACAAAAATGTTACACAAATCCCTATCCGAAACATAGGCTATGCTTTATCAGTGCTGTGATTCCAATTATAGGATGATATTCTCTGGTTTAGTAAAAAATGAAAAGGAAATCACTTCTGTTATGCATCACATTAGTAAAAAAACCAAAACAACAACAAAAAAACACACACAAAAAACCCAACACCAAAGGCTGCAATGTCACTTGCACCTTTACTTTTCACCCAAGATTGGTCACTTCAAGGTGAGACAATTTTTGTCGGGGGGGGAAGAAAAAAAAAAATCTATAAACTACTGCACCTTTTCAACATAGGGTCAACTCTTATGTTTACAGATACACGTGAATTACCCCCTTTCATTTAAGGTGTCCTTTTTTAAACAGAATTAAATGAGTGCTTTGAAATCACTCTTAGGCACAGCAGAATTCTGCAGACGAACTTCTGATTAAGAACTTAGTATTGAGCTTTTGTAATCTAAAAGTTTGCCACTGAAATTCTTAAACATATGGAGGCCAAATACATAAAAAATTCTTTGTTTCAGCATGCAAAACTCTCCAGAGCATCTAGAAAATCCATGTCCAGACTCAGTAAGAACAGGACTGAGTTTCAACAGTAGGACAATGTTTCTTGCTTCATTCTCAACTACATTTGTAAAATGTGTACTCAACCAAAGAAAATTCTTTTGAAAGCACAAGGTTGAGACCATGTTCAGGTATCTAAAACAATACTGGACGAGTGACTCAAGAATTCATAAAAATGGTGCGCATAGTTACCTATCTCCATCCTTCTGTCCAGCATTTCATTACTTACTGTGTCAGCTTACATTCTTCCTATTAACATTTCTCTCCAAAACCTGTCAATTTACATTATTTGCCCAACAGGTTATCCTTATGGTCAGACTCTCGAAAACCCTACACTCTACTGAGTGGTAGACACTTCATTTACCATCCTACCCTGAATGGGGGGTCGGGGGGCTATATACCCAAAGGTATATGTAGCTTTTCAGACCAATCACCATCAGCTATATTGCTTGATGAGAATAAAGGAACGTTTACCTAAAATAGTAAAGAAAAACACCATCTTTCCACTTAAAAAATTAAAACTACTGGACAGCAAGAAACCTCCTCAGCTCAGGCTCACTTCAGAATCTGTCTTGTAAGCATCTGCCACTTACTGCAGACCTGACCCTCAATGAGTTCATACAGTCACAGTCTACTGCTTTCCTCTTCTTATAGGTTTTTACAGCCACCAAGAACTACCCACTTTGCAATATATACAGTTACTTTAACACAGACTGCCTTTATTATTTGCCCCTGAAGAGTTTGTCTTCCTCTCTCACTATGGCTAGGGTCAAAGGACATCTCAGAATCAGGACAGGGATGATACTGGTTTCCTATTCACCCCTGTTTAGGATTCCTTGATTTCACATAAATAATACAAAGTAGATTTTACATAATTACCATGTATATGGTTTCAGGATTTTTTAAATCTACTTAATTTCATA